ACACACACACACACACACACACACACACACACACACATAGCAACACAGGTTGAGAGGAGGGGGCTGCACAGAGCAGAGTGGAGGTGTAAAGGATGGCTGCAGGAGGAGGAGGAGGAAACCTGGAAAAACCCATCAGGATGATGAGAGAGTAATGTATTCAGCTCAGGCACAGAGACAAAAAGCAGGGGGGGTGGGGGGGAGTAAAGGGAGAGAGACGTTTCCACTCACCAGGCGTTCTTTCATCTTGTTCTCACCATTGTGAAGAATTACCTGATGTCTCCCACCATCTGGTGGTGGGATTCAACTGAAGAGCCACTCAGATCTGAGCTGCATGATCTCATTTAGGACAAACATCGAACACCAGGATCCTCTGTGAGCACCAACCAGGAGTGAAACGGTCCTCAACATGTGCTTACTTTTTGTTTTTTCTGGTTTTTTTTTATTCTGGTAACCCTTCAGAAATATCCCACCCCATCCATTCATTTTTTTATTTTACTTGTTTGTTTGTTTTGTTTTTTTCTTTCCGGGGGCGGGGAGTTGGAGTCTTTCTCCAACAGTCGGGGTGTGAGAGGCTGGGGGCACCTGGACAGGTCTCCCCTCCCTGTAGAAAGGCCAGTACTGAACAGACCTCTGTGTTTGTGGGATCATTTGTGTTGGAGCGACCCAAACTCCTGCATGTCAGGAAGTGGTTGATTTTCCAAAGAAAACACCAGTGAGAAGTCAGAGGAGTCAAGTTGTACAAACAGTTTCATTTAGTTGTCACAGATATCAGAACAATACTTTAAATCATGACTTTTGATGTTTATCCTCTAAACACTTTTATAGAACGTTCTAGTGGCAAATTTCCCTGATTTATAACTTCAATAAATTGTTTTTGTTTTTTGAGTGTGGAGAGTGTGTGCTAAAAATGACCATTATACGTTCAGTGTTGATCTGTAAAAGTTTATCTATCTGAATTTTCCTTTTATTATAGTTATCCCAGGGCCATTGGTTTGATAAATAGCTGGTCCCTAGCGTGCAGCATGCCACTTCCACACTGCTGAGTTGTATCGTTGCAGTTTCATGACAACAATTGTGTCATTCTGTTCACACTGTCGACATTTCAGCACCTTGTTGTCACAACACGTGGACCAAAATTGTATCCCTCCACATGAGAACTTATTGTGTGATTGGTCTGAAATTAGTTGGAGTGTTTGTGCTGACACTGCGTTTTGCTGAGTGTTGTAGTCTACCAGGAAGCAGACATTTCTAGTCAAATGGCCAAAAACTCATGGCTGGAGATAAAACTGTGGAGCTTTAACAAGGACAGATATGTGCAGAAATAACATCGTGTCTCAGAGTTTTTCCACATTGTAGACCAGGTGGGAAGAAACTCATGCAGTGATGTATGCTGCAGTGGGAGGGGTTTCCAAAGACCTCGACACAGTGTGTCTCAGTGGCTATGGAAGGTGTGTGTGGAAACAAACGCTGAACAACAACGTGACAGCGCGTTGTCCAGTCGGCTGCCTACCAACCATACTGAAGCCTAAAGTGAACCAGTGTGCTCAGGAGGAGGACAACATGGATGTTTTTATAGTTTCCAGTGCTCAGTGTCAGTTTCTGCAAGGCTTTGTGGTTCAGATAGGCTCCTGTCTACTTTTGATTCATTGAAATAAACTAAACAGTCTTCATTTCTGCCTGTTTTATCTGTGCAGTCATTCTAACATCTGACAGCATCACAACATAAAATACCAGAAAAAGCTCATTCTAAATAAGTTTGTATATGAAAATCAATAAACGTCAGGGTGTAAAGGTCCAAAACGATAGAGTTGATGCTTGATTTTACACATTTTACTGTTTAGAAAAAAAAAACCCCACTAAATGTAACGTGCCTGCTGTGGGTCAAACAGCTTGAAGACACAGTTGAGTCCACGTAGCATGAATGTCCAACCTAAAACTAAGTCCAGGGAACGTTCTTGTTCTCTGATAACAGCATGTAAGACATACATGCCTCCTGCTGAAGGTCTTTGTACTTCAGGTTCATAATGCTCACCGTTCAGTCGGTCACATGGTGTCTGGTTGTAACTTTCATTGTGAAGCTTAGGTAAACAAATCAGTCGAATGTTGTCGTATTTCAGGGAGGTGAATTAGGGTGAAGTCTAACAGCAGCTGTAGTAACTGCCACACACTGAACCATGTCACCCACAGGTATTACTTGTTTGTTTGGTGTTTCATGATTTGGGCCAAAGTGCTACAGACTCACTCGTTCCATTTTCTGTTATTGATTTAAAATTTGTGTAAAATCTTTAAAAAGTGATGCTCTGAAAACAAGAACCTTTGAGCTTGTTTCAGTTTATGTTGGCTTAGAAACACTTTATCTAACCTTTACATTTTCAAATTTATTTTTCTGAAACTTGCTTTGTTTCTTTGCAGCAAACATTTTATTTTTTAACTTTATTTTTTCTGGAGTTTTATGTAAAACTTAGTCTGACTCTGTCCACCCTCGCCCCTCTGGGAGATGAACAGGTTCTCTTACAGACTCCAGATGTGACAACGAGCTAATGCTGGATGCAGAAACCACTGTTTGCTTCAGGGAGAGACAGAGAAAACTTTTGTTAGAAACTGACAGATTCTTAAGACTTGTTAAAGTAAGAATGCAGCAAGACAGAGAACCACAGAAGAGACACAGGTTTTAGGGGCACAACAATACAGAAAATTTGTGATTTGTTTTGGTTCGATGCTTTAGTCTCGCTGTTCAATATTTTTTCGATACAAAAAAGAAATGTCCATGCCCTTCTAAAAATCTTTATTATTTGATACATAGTGTGTATTGAAACTAAAGGACTGCTGATCGTTGAACCCCCGATGCTTTATGAGGACAGCTGTCCCTTACTGAACACTAAACATAAAGTGGTACATTCTGACAGGAGTCCAGGAGTTTCATGTGCCATTAAAATGGGTCAGTTTTGGTTCTTGTTTTGTTCGTGTTGTTTGCAGATGTGTAAACATGTGCATGCCTTGTTTCCTGTTTTTGCTGTATTTTTGTGTCTGTGTTACAGCACCTCATACAGGCCAGTCATAATATTACAGCATGTTGGCCACATGTTGTGTGTGGCAGTGCAGATAAAAACATCTCTACAAAGGACAAACGGACCATTTAAAAAACACACACCTGCACACAGTTCTTAGTAATCACCACTTTTCTGTTTCTTTCACCAGCTTTGAAGAGTGTAATCCAGGCCGTGTGCTTCTGTTGACCACCTCTGTCTCCACATTCTGATGTGGTTTTGTTTCTTTCAGAGTATTATTATGAACAGGAAGAGAGGACAGATGAGGACGGCGAGCCGACTTTCTCAGAGGATGAGGCCCTCAGCCAGAAAGGTGTGAGACGATCTCAGAGCGTCAAGATGACCAGATCGAAGCTCCGCAAAGATGTGAGTGGTCCAGATTCATTACAAGCCGTTAACTGTAAGACAGACATCAGTCAATAAAAGATAAAAAGCAGCTGTCAGACAGATGAGAGGAAACATGTGTTCTGTTTGCTTCTGTTCCCAGCTTCGCTATGGATCACTGAAGATTAAAAGTAAGAAGAGACCAACAGTGAGCTCTGCCAACTATGCACCATGACAAGAGTCCTGCTGACACACACACACGCACACAGCAGAGCAGCCTGCTGATTGGTGGGCACTGAATTTTTACTCTGCTGACATCTTTCTTACCAAACGCATCCAAAACCAGCAGCTCTGAGAGGAGAGCTTTTGTTTCTGTGCTTTAAGGTGTTCAGGACATGTAGAACATGGACACCATGCTGAGTTTTTATCAGATTTGTAAAAATGTGTGTTTAGTCCTATAAATATATTTGTTGTCTTTGTATTGTTTTATACACACTAACAAGTTGTGTAACTTGAGCTGAAACTATACATTCAAAGCTTGAACCTTTCTAACAAAATCCTTATAAATCCATATTAAGAAGTAAACATGAGTTGATATATTTTTCAAATTTTTTATTTGGTCAGAATGATTTTGGTTCAGGCTTCCTATGCAAACTACAAATGACAGGATAAAGCTGAAGAAGCAAAGAAGGCTTTTCAACTTGTTTTGAAAATCAATTTAAATAGAAAAATGTTCAAAAAAGATGCTTTGCTCTCAGAAATATTGTTCCATATCCATCTTTGCTTCAATTGTTTTTTTTCTATCATTATTTTGATCACTGACCACTGTTCAAATACGTATTTGGGCCACACAAGATTTTTTTTAAGTCGTAACATTACGAGAAAATAGTCAAAAACATTACAAGAAAATAGTCAAAAACATTACGAGAAAATAGTCAAAAACATTACGAGAAAAAAGTCAAAAACATTACGAGGAAAAAGTCAAAAACATTACGAGGAAAAAGTCAAAAACATTACGAGAAAATAGTCAAAAACATTACGAGAAAATAGTCAAAAACATTACGAGAAAATAGTCAAAAACATTACGAGGAAAAAGTCAAAAACATTACGAGGAAAAAGTCAAAAACATTACGAGAAAATAGTCTAAAACATTATGAGAAAAAAGTCTAAAACATTACGAGAAAAAAGTCTAAAACATTACGAGAAAAAAGTCTAAAACATTACGAGGAAATAGTCAAAAAC